GTAGCTTTGTAAATTAAGACACAATAACACGCCGAATAAATACTAATTCAGAAGTCAAACAACAATATTTTGTAAATATAACGCTGATTTTTGTTGTTTGACTTCTGAATTAGCTTTGTAAAATTTAATCCTAAGATGCAATAATAATGAGCTTATGACCTCCAGAAATGAACTTGAAAAATAAAGGCACTGTAGCCGAAGATACACAAAGACATTATTGATGACATTATAAATTTAAAAAGCAGTACGAAATCACTAGAACTCATATAATTACGAGGAGAAATTCAACGAGAAAAGAGCAAAAGAAGCATCCGAGAAATACTTAATATACCAAAGAAAACCTTATTTACAAATCTAAAAAGAATAGAAAAATTATGCATACAAATTTTGAAGATTTAAAGGGATAAATTATTGTTGACAACAGTATCTCAGTTAAAGATGTCTTCCAAAATGGTAAATAATACAAACCGTTTGTCAGTGGAGTATGTGCGTTGGGAATTCAACCATACGTCGGGCCTCTGCTCCCCTGTTCGAATAAAATTCAGAGTGAAATACTTCAAAAGTATACTATTAATTTCTCTGAGAACTTTGAAGAAATCAGTAAAAACTCTTGGTAAGTTTTCAGAGTGCTTACTGAATGGGAGCACCGGAATTTTTCTACGCAGGTATAGTTTTTGAAGTTATATTATAAAGGTAGTTTGCCAGTTTCGTGTTTGCCAAGAAAAGATGCTGGCCTCATCTGAATTGGTGAAAATTTGAGGTGTTACGAATTCTTCTACTTCCATATTTGACTTTTTCGAAGTTGTTGTCAGCCTATGTTTACACGTTTCGCTGGGACAGCCTCCTAGGACACCTTTGGTCTTTCTGAAGGTCTTTTTCTCTTTCAGAATTAAGCACCACATTTCCACTTTTAAGCACACTGTTCATTATACCATTAGCTTTAAGGTTTCTTTTTAACATTCTTTGGAGTTGGTTGTGGAATTTGTTTTACAATTGCATTAGACTTTTTTTTTAACCATGGTAACTTTAGCTTCTAAGTCAATCCTTTCGTGATTTCCAGCACATTTTATGCACCTCGGTATAAACTCAGTCGAGGAATGATAAAAATACTGGTAGTTGTGGCACCAAGCCACACTGCCCTTTAGATATAAACGTCAGCAATAACACTAATGCACATCAGATTAGATATTTCATGAATGCGCTCAGTTTCGGACTCAGTAGCTAACTAAACTTGGAAGAATAGACATGAGTACACGCGTTCTAAATTTTAGGCGTAGTACACACCTTAATAAAGTTGAATCCCCCTTTTATTAACTCTTGCTTAATTTCGAAAGCTAAACAATTAATTTCTCTAATCACTAACTTCGCTGGTTTTACCGAGTTACCATGAATTACATAGTATTGAATAGAATTTATTTCCACATATATAACTATATTTCGGTGGGATTCGTCGATTTTCGTAGGTAAAATTCTCAGGAACTCTTTCGAAATTGTAGCGTTTAAAACTGCGTTCGTAACCATCAACGGAGTTTCTTAAGAAATTCGCTGAATTTCAATGGGGAATAACCATTAATTGGGCTTAACTTTTGAAACTTTCTGAGCGTTTTCGGGAGGAATTCTAGGAAAGTACCTATATCAACATTATCCGAATTTTCAATATTCCCATTTTCTTCACTATTAGCATTATTACTACTGTTTACATCAACATACATAGAAAATTTATTTATAGGGTTATTATCAATAGCATTTTTCATATACCTTTTTGGGCGGGCAAACTTCCGTGTTGATAGGAATATATCTTTTGACGAAGATTACATGAGCCACGTTTTTTGGGCCTATGAGAATTGCCACAAGTATTGTTGATAGCAATTGGTAGTTGTAGACTGTATATTAATTCATAAAAGTCAAGTTGAGAAACTTAACAACATTTATTTTCTTTCAAGAACAGTAATGCCGCTTTAAACGGGCAAAGAGTGAGTAAGGAATAACTAACAATTGACTTCCGCTTTGTTCGGGCAGAGGAACGATGTGGACCGAGTGCATCCCTATCGCTTACTAATTAGTACTGAGCTCTCGCCACTGTTTGCAGCACCTTACGTGGCGCTGCAAATGTTAAGCCAGTGCAAATAGACAGAAGTATTCTAACCGAGACGGAACATTCCGTCCGGCATTGAAATTTGATACAAAAATTTCAATTAGTTAATTAGTGACAAATTACAATAGTTCAAAACTGATAATCACATAAATAATTGTCAGATTACTACAGCTCTAAAACTGAATTATGAAGTTTAAGAACATTAAATATTGAAAATAGTAATTATGTAAACAATATATAAGTTGACATAAAAAGTGTCACAATACACATACATTTCAAAATAAGCCATACAAATCCTTTAAACATATAATGATTAGTAAATTCTTGTAATGTATAAACTGATTCCACAACTATATATAAAGGTAAGTAGAAACTTGAATATTACATTGGCAATAAACAGATCTTTGATATAGATATAGTGCAGATTCCTAAAGCAGTTTTAACTTTAGCTACACGTACCTTACCATCTGTACCACGGATTGTCTCTAAAATTCTACCTAAGGCCCAATGGCAAGGCGGCAAATTCTCATCCTTAAGTAAAACCATTGCACCTGTTTCTACATTGGATTTCTTGAAACTGCCATTTATTGCGCTGTTGCAAACATCTGTACCAGGAATTGCTCTAAAATTCTACCTAAGCTCAATTGCAAGGCGGCAAATTCTCATCCTTAAATAAAATCATTGCACCTGTTTCTACATTGTTTCTGAAACTGCCATTTATTGGGCTGTTGCAGGTTGAGGAAATCTGTTTGCCAACGCTTTCCATATTAATTGAACAAATTTTGTTGTCCGCCACCTGCAACCTGTTATCAGTAATTTCAATAAGTGCAGGCTCTGGTATAGACGTGATTGAACGGCTTACCAAAAAATGCCCTGGCGTTAAAACTTCAAATTCATTAATATCATTAGACATAGGGGTTAATGTGCGAGAATTTAAAATTCCTTCAATTTGAGTAATGATTGTAAGAAATTCTTCCATAGTAACCTTAGTACATTCCATAGTTCTTCTAAGATGGTACTTAAGGGATTTAACTCCCGCTTCCCACAATCCTCCAAAATTCGGTGACGCAGGGAAAATTAATTTCCAGACTATAGATTCTGAGGTGAAATAACTGGTTAACGCCTCATATGGTTTTCTAATCAATTTCTGTAAACGCTTTAACTCTGTATGAGCACCCTTAAAATTTGTGGCATTATCTTTAATGATGGAAGAGATTTTCTCTTTTCTCGCACAAAATCGCTTAAGAGCTCAGATGTCAAATCTGTTACTATCTCCAAATGGATTGCCTTTGTGGATAAACATATAAATACAGCAACATAGATTTTAGGAAAAATGCCCTTGCGTTGACCCTTGAATTGTACATGAAATGGTCCGTAAAAGTCAACGCCACAATTAAGAAAGGGTGAAGTTGGAGTTATACGCTCAGTAGGAAGATTACCCATGACCTGACTTGCTGCAATTGGTTTTGTTTTTAAAAAAAATCACACAAGCATGAAACTATCTTACGAGCCAAGCCCTTTGCCGTGAATGTCCAATATTTCAAAACGCACCTGATGAAGTAAACCCTGCGCTCCAATATGTAGGTACTTATGAAAATTCAAAAATCATACAGTCACTATGATAGGAGGCAAATTAACTGGTGTTTACAATCAATAAAATTTGAGTTTTTTTTTTCCTTTTCCCCAACTTTTAAAAAGAGATCCTCCTTCTTGGGCCCCTTTTCCTCGTCGCAAGGGTGTAGGTTAAAGGCGTCGGAGCTGGTTCCGAATTCAGTTTTTTCTCTGCCGTTATCGCCTCCTGGGCCTTTTCCCTCATCTGTAGTTAACTTCCTGGCATCTTATTGGGTTTCAAAATTCTATAAATGTTCATTCATTGTCAAAATCATTCTGATTCTGCTTGTTTCGTTTTTTCTTTCTCGTCCGAGATAAAATGTGTGGCGACTCTGTTCATGTTTGTCGCCCCGCGCGCCGTTCACTCAACTGTAACCGAAGATGATTCGGCGACACTTCTGTCGCGGTTGTCGCCGCTTTCCTCCCTTTTGTCTCCGACTGTAAGTTCAAAGTTTTATGCTGTCTACATGATACTTTTTTGGAAATTGGCTCAGAGGGCAAAAGCCCCGCGAAATTTATAGTACAGCAGAATTTGTGCTTAAACAAGACCTTGTAATGTGCGAAATGCAGCTGAACCAATATTTTTACTTATGTGTATTGGATTACTTATCGTATTGGATCGTGTTTCATCATAACAGCCACGTGGATTACCTTCATGTTTCCATTTGTGATCATCTTTCAGACATGCGGATTACCTTCATCTTCCATTAGTGATAGTGTTCCAACATCAAGCGAGTGGATAATTTCTGTACATCAAGGTGATATTTTCTACCTTTTATTCCGCACATGGATTCGTATGTATTCGTCAAGCGGGTGAGTTTTTTCCTATATTTCTCATGTTCTAGATCATCAGAACCCAGGTCCTAACATTAATTATTTTGTGTTTCTTCACGTGTACTGCAACAGTATTCTTGAACTATATCTTTTTTTTGTTATCTGTATTTATTCATATTTATTATGGCTACTAGCGATCCTCTAGCCACACTGATGACAAACAAATGGCTCGCGTTGCTGTGAAACCTGCCCCATTTTGCCGTAGTAGTGACCCCAACCTTTGGTTTTTTTTCAATTAGATGCACAATTCAAGCTCGGGGTTATAACACGCGACGACACGAAATTTTATACTGCAATTTCCGCCCTCGACACTGAGGTTCTTCAGTCAGTACGCGAGATTGTTCTGAAACCCCCCTCGGATAATAAATACGAGGAATTGAAAAATAAATTAATTTCAGTTTATGAGGAGTCTGAAAACACCAAACTAAAGCAGTTATTACAAGATTTGCAACTTGGTGATATGCGCCCATCCCAGTTATTGTCAAAAATGCAGGAGCTTGCGGGTGACAATTTTAAGTCCAATGTTTTACAATCATTGTGGCTCAATCGTCTCCCGAACAATATCCAAGCTATTCTTGCCTCCAGTAACGAGAACGAGAACCTACCCCAACTGGCCCAAATGGCAGACAAAATTCATGATGTTCTCCAACCACAAGCAATCAGTCAAGTTCAGCATCCCAGTGTTGATATTTCATCTCTTCAACAACAAATCCAGGAATTATCATTGCAGGTCGCAGCCTTACAGACACGATCTCAGTATCATCCGCGCGGTAGATCAAAGTCCCGGAACCGAAATAATAGGGAATACCAACGCGCTCATTCTGGTACTCAATCAGACATTTGTTTCTATCACAGCCGATTCGGTGATAAAGCGCGCAAGTGTACACCTCCATGCAAATTTCAGAAGACCTCTTTAAACTGAAGGGGCCGTCACTCGAAGCCATGAGTGACAACGGCCCGTGCATTAGTCGATTGTTCGTAACAGATAAACCATCAGGCAGACGTTTTCTTGTTGATACAGGTGCTGACATTTCGGTTGTACCTCCCTCTTTTGCCGAATCCAAACGGCCGCCTGGAAAATTTAACTTATTTGCAGCTAACGGGTCAAAAATTGCAACATATGGAGAAATATTAATGTCTTTGGATCTAGGATTGCGTCGCAAATTTCAATGGCCATTTGTCATCGCTGCGGTTTCGCACCCAATAATTGGTGCAGACTTTCTGCAAAAATTTTCTCTGTTGGTCGACATTAAAAATCGACGCTTACTCGACTCCATCACACAATTGTCCGCGGTAGGTAGCATTGGAAATGCCACTAATTTTGGAATTAAATTAATTTCCGGTAATTCTCCTTTCCACAAACTACTTGAGCAATACCCTAACGTCATCCGCTCAGTAACTGGCAAACCGACTGCTGACCACGGTATTGTACACGTCATAGAGACTACTGGACCACCAATCTTTGCCAAAGCACGGCGGTTGCCTCCAGAGAAATTAAAGGCTGCAAAAGAAGAATTTAAATACATGCTTGAGCAAGGAATCTGTCGGCCATCTAAAAGTTCATGGGCCAGTCCACTCCACATGGTCCCTAAGAAAAAACGGCGACTGGCGTCCTTGTGGGGATTATCGACGTCTTAATTCAGTTACTTTGCCTGATAGATATCCGGTTCCTTGTATTCAGGACTGCATGCACGTCTTGGAAGGCAAAAATATTTTTTTCTACATTAGATTTGACTCGTGCTTACCATCAGATCCCTGTCAATCCACCTGATATACCAAAAACTGCTGTAATAACACCTTTTGGATTATTCGAATTTCCTGTCATGACTTTCGGGTTATGTAACGCTGCGCAAACGTTTCAGCGCTTCATTAATGAAGTCCTTCGAGATTTAGATTTTTGTGTCCCATATTTCGATGACATTCTGGTAGCCTCGACAACTGAAAACCAGCACCTTGAACACCTTTGCATAGTCCTTGGCCGATTTCAGTCTTATGGTGTAGTCATTAATCCATCAAAATGTGTTTTCGGGAAATCTAAAGTGTCATTTCTTGGTCACGAAGTTTCTTCGGAGGGCGTTCGCCCACTTAGTGACAGAGTCACTGCAATTCAAAATTTCCCAGAGCCAAAAACTGTTCAGGAGCTGCGTCGTTTTCTGGCCATGTTAAATTTTTATCGTCGCTTTCTTCCTCATGCCGCTGAAAAGCAGGCACCTTTGCACACATATTTGGTTGGGAGTAAAAAGAAAGATACGCGGCCAATTATTTGGTCTGATGATGCCCGTACAGCCTTTGTACAATGTAAAGAATGACTTAGCGTCGGCAACAGCTCTTAGCTATCCTTCTAAGCACCCTTTAGCATTAATGGTTGACGCGTCTAATACGGCCATGGGTGCGGTTTTGCAGGAACTGGTAGGAGCATGGAAGCCTCTGGCTTTCTTCTCGAAAAAATTTTCTGCAGCGCAATCAAAATACAGCACGTACGACCGCGAAGTTCTTAGTGCGTATAAGGCTGTTAAACATTTTCGTCATATGGTAGAAGGTCGTGTGTTTTCTATCTATACCGACCACAAGCCGCTAATTTTCGCTTTTCGGCAAAAGCCTGACAAGGCTTTCCCCAGGCAAATGCGTCATCTTGATTACATAGCGCAGTTTACAACCGATTTTAGGTATGTAGAAGGCCCTCAAAATACAGTTGCTGATGCTCTGTCCAGAAATGAAGAGGTTCAGTTGCCATCAACAACAGATTTCTCCGCCATTGCTGAATGCCAGAAACAGGACCCAGAATTGCAACATCTTTTGTCTGACAAGTCTTCTCATGGACTTAATTTAGTACCTATGCAGTTAGAACCAGATCTTTCACTGTACTGCGATGTGCAAGGTAATGTGGTGCGGCCATACATTCCACTGAAATTCCGGCATGGTATTTTTAGCGGCCTCCATAATTTATCCCATCCTGGCATCCGTGCTTCTCGCACGTTAATTCAACAGCGTTTTGTATGGCCTGGTATGCAGAAGGACATCGCTGCATGGGCGAGGTCATGTACAGACTGTCAAAAATCAAAAATTCACAGGCACACTCGAACTCCATGTCAACGCTTTGAGTTACCATCTGCTCGCTTTAGCCACGTACATATCGATTTGGTTGGACCCTTACCCCCATCACTAGGTTATACATATCTTCTTACGTGTGTCGACAGATACACACGTTGGCCAGAGGCTATCCCTATTGTAGATATGTCAGCCGACACTGTGGCAAAAACCTTTTTTTCTGTATGGATTTCACGGTTTGGGGTACCCGAGTACGTTACCACGGACCAAGGACGGCAGTTCGAATCTCAATTATTTACTGCATTAACAAAAAATTCTTGGGAACTAAAAAGATCCGTACATCACCGTACCACCCGAATTCCAATGGACTTGTCGAGAGGTTCCATCGCTCTCTTAAACAGGCCATTAGATGCCATACTGCTATTCACTGGGTTGATGTCCTTCCTACTGTGTTGTTAGGACTCAGAACGGCTATCAAAGAGGACCTGGGTTCTTCAAGTGCTGAAATGGTTTATGGTACCAATTTACGTTTACCGGGAGATTTTATAAATCCCGCAAAAAACTCACCCAATGTCCAGCCCCATGCATTCCTCAAACAATTGCGTGAAACCATGGCTGCATTATACCCTAAGCCCACAAGCATACATTCTTCAAGACCTGTGTTTGTGCCTAAAGAACTCGCTACATCCTCACATGTGTTCTTACGGTGTGATGCATCAAAAAAGTCCTTGGAGCCTACCTATACAGGCCCACACCTAGTTCTAAGTCGCACATCCAAGAACTATCGGATACTAATCGGCGACAAAGAGACAGTGGTGAGCCTTGATCGTCTCAAACCAGCCTTTATCTTAGCACCACAAACTGTCGAGACTGGTACATCAGTCCCACCTCCTTCGAAGGCACCTTCATCTATTGGGTCTACACCAACATCTGCTACTACGTCAGTTCCTGTGCCTGGATCCCAGAAAACAAGTGCTCCTCAGTATACACGTTCCGGACGTAGAGTCCGATTTAACCCTCGGTACCTTTAATTCGTTGCCACTGGAGGGGGAGTACTGTGGCGACTCTGTAAACATGTGTTGTACTCGCCAACCGCGCGCCGTTATCACTAACTGTAACCGAAGGTGATTTCGGCGACACACAGTCACGTCTCGTCGTCGGTGCGGTTGGTCGCTCGCTTTCCTCCAACGTGATTGTCTGTCGACTGTAGTAATTAAGTTTTAATATTGTGATGTGATTAAATGTTTTTGTTATCAAAAAAAATTGGCTCTTATGGCATGTTATGAATTCATCCTTAAAAGCACTGGCAAATTCCAATACGCATAGTTTGTTGTTGCACACAGCCGCAACCACGTGCAACAATGCTTTTGAATGGAGTTGCTGATGGGAACCAGGACTGATAACACAAGGATTAGCCAAAGTCACAGGGTATGCCCTCGGATTATATCCCTTATTTTCTTTGAGGACATGACCCATTCAATGGTGACTCAAGTTTTGAATTTCACAATATTGCTCACAAAATTTTGAGCTTGTACGCAGCGTGTTATCCATGCTAGAACAATAGTGAATCACACACCACAAAAAGCATATACTTAGCTGCAGAGCTGTTATTACCTTTGACACAACTGCACAGAAGTAATGCTCCACACAATCAAGACGTGGAATTGTAACAGCTTTATAGGAGAAACTCTGGATTTGCTACAAAGGAATTGGAATAATTCATTCCATCAGTGGTAATACAACGGATGTAAATAGCTGCACCATAAGCCTTTCCGAAGCGTCCGAGAACCCATGGATCTCAGTTCTAACGGAATGTTCATTAAAACATATCTGGGAATATTCAATGATCGATTAACTGAAGCTGGAAAGGATTTTTTCCATTCACACAACGCCTTGGAGGTAATTCCTCGTTCCAGTCCAGTTTCAGCAGCCATAGTCTCTGCATGAATATTTTTTGCCCTCGTTACTACGGTCCGATGAGACCCATGGCCAAAAAGCTTAGCTATTTCAGATAACACCTGACGTTTAGTAAAGCATCTTGATTGTTCACAGCGTTTTGAAGTCAAGTGATCATCCTTCATTTCCAAGCATTCCTAGCGTCTTCACTACACTTTCTTGAGATTCACAGGAATATTCCTGTGTTGAAATATCATGCAACAGCTCAGGATGATTGGACAACCCATTTATTTAGCTCCATACCTCCACGACGACGATTTATACTAATTCAGACTGAAGCCTCCTTTGCTTCTTCTAAAGTATTTCCTCTTTCAGGATATATCCATATAAAAATCCGTAGATGTGCGCAGCCGCCCTGGGAAAATAGTCCTGTTCGTAGCTGCCATGCCTTTAAGGTTCTCATGGCTAAGAACGGCCGCGTATGTAACCTACGTAACCTATACACTTGAAACTGGGGGCCCGCGGCTTTGGCTTCCAAACAATTCTCTGTAAATTTCTTTGCTATGGATGTATGAGTTTTGTCGATACATCTGCTTAATATCGGCACTAAAGGCAAAGCCATGTTTTCTAAACCTGAAACTATAAAAAAAACTTCTTGAATTGTGCCTCCGTTCAATAGAATTGAATTTAGCGAATAGCCACTGATGATTTACACGATGCATCGAAAACAACTCTAAATCGAATTGAAGTTTTCTCCGGGTGATATGATGGGGAATGCATGATGGGGAATGTAGTAACAAGTGTCACAGTTATCCACGAGGCATAACAGGTTCCATGTGATTTAAGGTTTAAATATTCGTTCATAAATTCCTTATACAAATTAGCTACATAGTCTTATTAGCATCAAGACGATCAAGACGATTCCAAATCGTGTGTTCAGTCTCTTAATAGCAATTTCTTTAGATGAACCCAGCATAGAAGTTGGCATCATCCTTCATAGGTAATTTTACTATGTATCTACCCTGTTTCATCACGCGAGTATGTTTCATTAAAATGCCTTTTCGCAAAATATTTCTTCTTCATTCTTTACGACTTCCATTACCATCTCCCGGGAAGGATTCTAATTCGAAAAAACTTCTTAATTGCATTATCGAGATTTGATTCCTTTATCAAATAACAATAGGATTGATTATTAACAGTAGGTAGAACTCCTGTCCATTAAATAACCAAATTCTGTGTTTTGCAATATTATGTTTCCATTCAGCGCTTGAACTCTACCTTCTTTCAAGATGTTAAAGAATAACTCATTTCCTATCAATATATTGATTTTACCAGGTGTATAGAAGTTAGGGTCTGCTAATTTAATGTCATGCGGTATCGTTAGATTAGAAATATCCAGTTTTGTCGAAGGAATTACATCCTGTTATTTTTGGAATAATACGTAATTCTAAATTGTGAGAAAAGGTCTCTGTTTCGTTCGAAATATGGGCTACAATCTTCGCTTTTGATTGAATGAGCTGATCCACTTATTCCCGAAATGTGCGTTCGGATGGGTTTAGTTTTCAAGCACCAAAAATTCTGCGCATTCTTTGGTGATGAGGCTCATTTGCGAACCCCAGTCCAGTAAGGCTCTTATTCTGCAGCGCTGCCCGAACACATTCGTCAACATAAATAACCACCGTACTCAGTAAGACAGTTTTGCCCGCACCGGGAAATGGATGCAAGACTATATATATACTGCTTGCTGTATATTGTCACCAGAAGCTTCTTCGGAGGGGTTTGTTTTTTTCCCTGGTTTGGACGGAAGGCAGGGAGTGTTCCGTTGGAACTCCTGACGGGTCATTGTGCCTATGGAGAAGAGAATGATGTTTTCGGAAACAGTGGCGTACGAAAAGTTAGAATTGCATTCTCCGGAATGAAGTTTTTAGACAATTCACACATAATTTTTTATTTTTGACGATAATGAGCCTATTTCCAACATTCAGTTGTTTGAACGCACTACATTTAAAGAGGTCATGGTTTCCTTTACAATGGATACATTTTTTGAGTTGGAATGAATTGAATTTATAACAAAACTTCTTGGTTTTGCACCGATACTGGGTTTAATAGGAAATTTGATAGGCGTATTTTTATGAATGCTTTCTAGTACCAAAGTTCGATTCTCAAGAAAGCGAAGGAGAATATTTATTAAAATTGCGTTAGATAGCCTATCAAAATTGTACTCTAATGTTTTTAAGGCGCGTGTAGATTGCGTTTGGTATGATCTAATAATTGGCGAAGTTCCTTAAGTGATTCCTGCTGAATTTTTTCTTGATTCAAAATATTTTGAATATAACTACCCACTATCGCCCATTTATTTTCATATCTTAATTCTAAAGCTTGAAACAGTGACTTGTATGTATCTTGCAATTTTCGATATTTTTTGCTTCTCCTTTAAGAGCAGCCTTTAAATAATAAAGTTTTAGTGTTTCAGTTAATTTCTCATTTTCAGCAATTAAGGATATGAATTGGCATTTAAATGAATGAAATTCTTTATATTTTCCAGAGAACTGAGGTAATGGTATTTCAGGCAATTTAACATTAATATTTTCAACAGTATTTTTACGTACTGGTAATGCATTAACTTTTGATTTTAATTTTGAAAGGAGGTATTTGAGACTTACCTCCATTTTCTCCAGATCGTCCTCTAGTTCTTCAATAATTTCACAAGATTCCTCTATGGCAACATCTGCTGGTAGATTTAAGTACCGCTGTTTTAATTCATCCAAGGATCGCTTTATTCCTGATAACGATTGCAATTTCACTTCTAAAAAGGATTCACTTTCTTCATTTTCGACAAAGTCACGCAGAGAGTGTTCCAGTTTTGTGACTTTTGCTTTCAGACAACCGCGTTGCCTATTCAAAGCTATTACATTATTCATAGTTGCTGTTCTTTCTCAGGGTAGGTTAGGACCAAAATGCTGATAGCAAATGGTGGTTGTGGACTGTATATTAATTCATTAAAAGTCAAGTTGAGAAACTTAACAACATTTATTTTCTTTCAATAACAATAATGCCGCTTAAACGGGCAAAGAGTGAGTAAGGAATAATTAACAATTGACTGCCGCTTTGTTTGGGCAGAGGAACGGAGGCTCGATGTGGACCGAGTGCATCCCTATCGCTTACTGATTAGTACTGAGCTCTCGCCACTGACCTTACGTGGCGCTGCAAACGTTAAGCCAGTACAAATAGACAGAAATATTCTAACCGAGACGGAACAAGTATTATATTTTACAATTAGTTTTACTGTGTTATACAGTAAATCTAGTTGTATCATTTGCATTAGTCAATTTGTCCCATTTGCACTAATCACGGTTTTTTCCATGTAGTAATAAATGTGACCTATCTCTTCTACTCTGTATTTAATAATTTACTTTTAATAATTTAAATTGGTTTGTTACATTCTAAACCAATTATTGTTGGGAAGAATTACTGCAGGAATAATTCTAAAGCTCATTATTGCAGAATTTTCTGCAATCGAAAAAGAAAATATCTCTTTGTAAATGGAGATTTTAAAGTACTTCGTAGCATAAGTGTTTTCCAAGAAGTTATTTAAAACTATATGTGTAGAAGAAAGATTCAAATAAATTAAAGTAATATTTTTTAAAAATGTGTTTGCGTGAAACTGAAGAGAATGGTAGTGCACCAAGATTTAAAAAATATAATTGTAGCTGAATAAGTCTTCTAGTCTTACATTCCAGAAGATTTAAAATTTATGTACAGAATAAACACGAATCCCAAGGGACAAAAATCAGGAGTTCGTGTTAAAAAATTCGTGTTAACTGGGAACTCAAATTTATTTTTGAAATATTTTTTTTTCTGTTCATTAAACTATTTCAATTCATTAAACCATTTCAATAGAATAGCACTGCAGGGTTATACTGTTTCTAGAAGCTCGTATCAAAGCTCTGCAGATCCTACTAAACTGATAGCGAATTATCACTTGGTCTGAAACTAATTAAAACATCTATAGAAGCTTAAAATAACCTTTTTATTTAAGTCTTAAATGGATGGAAAGTCACAGCTTGTACTATAAACGAATTTCTCTTACCTTTCTGGTATTTAAATTTACATAACAAAAAGATAAATTCAAATGCACTTAAGGCCTGTATTAAGATGTTCGTACCGAACAGATTTAACACTTTCAGTCTTCATACTACATATAGTGGTTTCACAGATTAAGTCAGACGTTCATAGAGATGAATGCAAAATAAACGATCTTTACATCACACGAAAGGAATTTACTGCAATTCTTGAAAATTTTATAGTAACATTAGCCATTAAATTCATCCTATGAGCAGCAGAATATGTATACAAAGTCTTTACGAGTTTTCTTGTAGAGTAAGAACTTGTTTTACCTCTTCCTATTACTTTCATTACCGTATGATAAACTATGAAAATCGCCATCCAAACGGGAACGTGACTGCCTTAACGAAGGGCCCGGGTTCAAGTGTCTGTACGCCATGGGACGCTTAAAATATGCTGCGAGCCGAAAGTCGTCTCGAGATGTTGATTATATGAGAAGAAGGGGTGGAAGACCGTCGGATCTGCCCTGCCCTTGTGGTGCTCACCTTTACAACTGGGGCGAAACTGGGTATACAGATGAATTGTCACCTATATGGCGCTTAAGGCTCAGGCCAACAACAGACGCAATCTTGTACTTCTTGCCTTGATAATAATGCGTGGGTTTGTTCTGATTACACCAGAAAAGGGAGATTTGTAACAACCAGAACAGCCATGGACAATCTGAAAGAAGTTTCCCAAGATCAATTAAAACGTAAGACAGCGTATTCAGAGGTTTCTCTAGTTTCATAAAATTCAAAGCAGTATTCTTCAATGACCGTTGGACTAGTAAATCTTAGAAATCACGTTCAGTTGTTTTTTGTGACTCATAACTGGTGATCAAACTACTAGACCAATTAATTCACGTATGCATCCGATTGCAAATTTTGGTTTCCATAGTAGAAGGAATTCTTTGGTAACTACTGTAATTACATTACAGTAACATTACGGTATCGTTTTTGTTTATATTACATACCGTAATTTGCTTTGGGAAATTATTATTATTATTATTTTTCATTTTTCGAATACTTTTGAATAATCTGTCTCATACGTTGCCGCTCGTTGAACATGCTGATTCATCATAGCATCTATTTGCCCATTAAATCAAAACTTTTCTAAAAAATTCTCAGCTTCACGTGATTACCAATTAAAGTAATGCACCTTTCTGCCAGAAGGCGATAATGGCAGAAAATAATCGCTCTAAAAAAAGGCTGTCTTAATCTTTTTTCTTCTTTCTCAATTTTTTCTTGCATTACTTGATCCATCACTGTTGAATTAAAAGGTATTTTCTCCCTACGTGCTTTCGTGATGTAACGATAGCGCACTCAGCGCGTATTTGATAGGTCCAGGTTCGAGTCGCGGAGAGGACATTGCCCATTTTTCAACTCTCCTACTTCAAAAAAGAAAAGGTCTCTACAGTGGCTCTCGAACTAAAAGGTGGTGGACACTAATCCATCACTAGCAGGATTTGGCGAATGGGTCCTTTAATCCCCAGTCGCTCTTTAAAAGGGAGAGTGTATACAGTATTTTCTCCCTCCTTCTAGCATGCCTTCGTGGTGTAACGATAGCACACTTAGCACGTATTCGAGAGGTCCAGGATCGAGTCCTGGCGAGGGATTTCCTTATTTTTCACATCGCTTGCTTTAAAAAAATAACCAAATAAATAAAACCTAAAGACTCTACAAGTTCCTCACGAAAGCGCCATTAGTATTGGATAAATATGTAATGATAGTAATACTTAATACATAGGATGTCCACAAAGTCCCTGAACAAAGCACACGAGGACACTCTGCCTAAAAGGAAGGGATACTTTCGTGGAGGGCATTCCTAGGAAAACTAGTTCTTATTCCCGTTATTCCTGGGAAAACTATGAAAATCTATATCTCAGCCAGGTCTTTTTGTCTGGATCCGAATCCGAGTTGAACTACCAGTATTAAGCGATTTTAGCTGTTCGGTCACTGTTGGGGCAACAGATGCTTGGATTTTGATGCTTTGATGAAAATGTTTCATTTAAAATAATCATTGTTCGATGCCAAACTTAATGTTTTGGAGGACATTAACTGCATTGTTTGGCTGGATTGATCTGACTGCTTCAGCTGGGTCATCAGCATGATAAGCTCACATAGTATTGTAATTGAGTTTTCCACATAGGAAGTCAGTAATACAATAATACCCAGGGCCGAAGCACGATACCCCTACTACTATGTGTCTGTGAACTGAGTTTCCACAGTTCACAGTAAGATACGTAAGATATGATTACATAAGATCAGAATTAATCACGATGATAACTGAGTGAAGTTCAGTTTGATGAGCCTGTAAATTAGTCCTTTATGTCAGATGCGATAGAAAGCTTTCGCTACGTAAGGAGTGAAGTGGATCAGGTAGGAGATGCATTTAAAGTTGAATGCCTTGTCAGATGAATGTCTCACAAGCCTTACCTGTTAAAAGTAACAGGCTGGTTAGGCCTATAATTTTCACCTTTGATATTGTACTTTTGAGGCCTGGGTGGCAGGAAAATCTTTTATAATTTCCGGTGCGTCAGAAATAAGCACTGCAGTTGCACTGTGGCGCTGTTGAAAACATGTAGGAAAAGTACATCAGCAAATTATCATTCCTCCCCATATTATCACACCTGCATTATTGAAGCGGTCACGTTCCTTTTCACAGCTGAAGCTGGATATTTTTTCACCTCAGGCAAAGAGGAAAATGCTAGCCTCTATGTACAATTAAATTAACTGTATCCGCATGCATCTAGATTCAACAAAAGTATATATGTTATTGTGAAAGACCGAAATTGAAGGATGTCGACATTCACCGGTGAATGTCAACACATACCAAATACATCGGTGATAGACCGAATATTTGGTTATATTGTATGTCGACAATCACAGATATACTGTGGTGGAGGTTGAAAAAAAAAGTCGAGTTCAACAGAGAGGTGACTGTCTGTCTCCAAATCCTTTGCTCTGCTGAGATTGAAGTTATGCGGCATGTATTTGTTATACTCTGGAACACTGTTTGTCAGTCTTATGCTAGATTTGATGGTACGCGCAAGATTTTCTTAATTTTTTTCCGATACCCTAATTTATGTTGAATGGATACTGCAGTGAATCGTGAAATTTTCCTTGAAAAATTAAATGTATTAATTGCGAGTAAACGAGAAGACAATTGTGTCTACTTTTCAAATACATCTCTCCTCACAGGGATTGATTACTCCTTATGAAGCTATGTTTGGCATTTAACTAAGAACATTCATAGCATCATCTTTTTTGCCTGGCGAACAAATCGCAATTATTGAAACTGAAGAACAGCTCTTAAGAAATTGCTAATACGTTTGAAACCGAAGAACAGCTTGAAGAAACTGTTAATACTTTTGAAGAAAATTTCAGCAGTGGCCATACCGAAAACCATATTCCAAAGAAAAATACTGAAGAGGTCTTGCAACCTACCATGTCTTCGTATCAAGCCTGGACTGAACTACACGAGTTATTCCTTATTTTTGTTATTCACCAGATTTAATTAAATGCAGCTCTTTTTTTTTTTTTTTTTTTTTTTTTGATTATATCAAAGCATTCCAGGGCTATCTGACTAAGGAAAGAAATGCCTTTATGAAGAAAAATCGCCTCTGAGGGCAACTGGCTCCTATACCTGTTACACATGATAATAACCACAAAAATGCCAATGCAGCCAGCTCGTTCGCTGCGATTCGAATCTCAAACCGAACTACCAGTGCTTAGAAACTTTACCACTCAGCCGCTGGTGGACCTTAAAGTGAAAATGAAACTGAAAGGGAAAAGAGTGTGAAGTCTAGGAGGAACTG